ACTTGAAGTCTGGTATCTGTCATAAATTGGGCCGTCCTGCTCAGTTCATCTGTTGGCCCGTATAGCTTCTCTTGCAGCGTAAGTGGGGTTGGCCACGTTTCCTGTCTCAGGGCCCTGTGTGTCTTGCAGTGCTGAAGGATGTGTTCAACAGTTTGGTCCGCCTCTCCACACTGGCATTTTGGTGATTGTACTCGTTTAAAACATTTGTACGTTGTCTCAGTCTTGTGTGTTGTGTCCTTAGTCTAAAGATAATCACTTGTTCTTGCGGGACAGCTCATGGTAGCCATCTGGTGTCTGAGGTGCTTTAAATAGTGTATTTATAATAGTTTTTATTTCTGTGTAGTTAACGTTAGAGGTTGATCTTCAGGCTTGTTTAGTGAGCGAGTGAATGTTAAAGTTCATGCTTGAACATCGGAGGTGTGGTGTACAAGTATCTGTTGTGAGTGTGTTTGTGACCTTGAACTTGAAGGTGTCATAAGTGTTGATGAAGTGACGGGGTGTGGTGTGGGTAGGTCAAGACTTGTTTCTTCATAACAGTCGTGGCTGGATGGGAGTTATTTTTAAAAAAAATAAATTAAGTAGAGGTATTACGGAGCTCGCAACTGCATACATAAGGTCATATGAGCGCCAGAAGAGTAGAGGTGTTACAAGAGAGTAACAAACATAAAAAAAGAAGAAGGGGAGATAAGGACGATAGATGTTTGATAGGAAAGAAGGAGCAAACCACACCAGAGCGCCCGCCAACCACCCACTGGATGGGAGTGAGGTGGCTACTTGTTGTAGGGCTGGCAGTATATATTATACGACTTGTTGATGTATCATCATTTATAATGGCACTACATGTATAGTAGTATGTGTGTGCTGGGCCATCATGTGAGCAGGTCGACTCTGGAGAATGTAGGTATCATAATTTTGTAGGCAGCCATCAACAAGACTCAATCGATGTCGACAAACAGAGCAGGAATTCACATATTTTAATTTATGTTATTGTTAAAGCCACACCGTATGTTGCTGCTAGCTTCAGCTTTTTTTGTGGCTTGAACAGACGTAACATTTGTCTCCTTTTGATCTTTGAAATCGCCGTAAAACACTTGACGTACAAATGTTAGCGGAATATGGCCGTCCATCTTCGTCCCTCACATCAATCCCATAAATCAAGAGAATGTTTCTTGCTATTGTCTTACATAATTGGGTATTCTGTAACCTTTTTTTTTGTTTGTTTGACAATTAAATTGTAAACGCTGTCACAAAGCTTAGTCAGAGACTGTCTAAGACTCAGTGTAGTTAAACAGTTTTTACCAAGAAAAACAATTCAATAATGGATTGTAATTCGCTGCAAAATGCCACGGAAACAAAATTGAATTCCCATCATTAGGAAATATATGTTACCACATAGCACAAACAGAAATGAACACTATCGGCTCATTTTGGAACTTGTCAAATTCACAACGGCACTTTCGATCACTTTACACTCATTAATTAAAACTGTTCTTATATCCAAACGAATTAATTGAAACTGTAGAAACTTTCAAAGGATGACAAGAACATTCGAGGAAGCGAAATTGACGAAGAAGAAGATACAGGGGTAGAGGAGCATCCTTTTATGGCTTATAAAATTAGGGGAACAAAACAGGTTTTGTTAAGGACTAGATAGGATAACGCTGCTGTGCACGAGTTGACCCCGGTCACTCATCGACCCGACGCGTGAAACTGCAAGTCACCTGTCACTGACTTAAGGCCTACCGCGGGAGGCCTGGGCAAACTAAAAGATCGCTGGGACGGAATATTGGACGCCGTGAGTCAATAACGACCCCTCCCTACCCCCCCCCCCCCCACACACACACACACACACAAACACACGCAGTCCCATTTGCCCACCTTAACGGCTCGTAAACACCAAACATCCGCGTTCGTGTGGTATAGTGTGTGAGACGCACGAAAGAATATTATTTCTTATCAGGGCCCTTTCTGTCTGTGTTCCCATTCCCACCAATCACAGTTCTAGTCTTCTTCTTCTTCTTCTTCTTCTTCTTCTTCTTCTCGATCGCATCACACTTGAAGTGTAGTATCTGTCATAAATTGGGCCGTCCTGCTCAGTTCATCTGTCGGCCCGTATAGCTTCTCTTGTAGGCTGTTCTAGTGATAGTTGTCGTTCATGCGCGTGGTGAGTTTCTGCTCTCGTGTTGTGACCGACCCCCCCCCCTCCCCCCATGGAGGAAGATGAGGATCTGCTCTTCCTTTACCCTATCCATACGTCGTGTTTTTACTATTGTATCCATACGACGTGGGGAACTCTGTGCAACCACTTTCCAAGAGGAAATTTACTCCCATCCGTAGGCTTTGCATAGCACGCTGTCAAAATGATTTTTTGAGAAATACGGAGTTTCAAAGAGATCTTTGTACTAGAACTAGAAGTATACTAAAATGTGAAGAATACAACCCCGGGGATACAAAAATCACATCAGGGCGTACGGATAGTGTTAAGAGTATGATCCGCAAGATAAACACATACGAGGTCTTACAGAAGATGGAGCTGCAAGCAGAAATGCAGTGTTCTATTCAAACACTTGAAAAAAAGGGTCGTATGCGCTACTAAGCGGAGCCCACAACTGGGGCAAAAACTGGGGCAAGAATTGCGTCAAGACCAATATTAATATTATCTAGAGTCTATATATCAATATTCTGTTTATTTATCAATCTTTTAAATGCTGTCCCTGTCGTTTTATGCACCCCGCATAATTTAGCAAAATTTGATCATGTTTTGCATAATTTCTGATTATTTTCCTTTCTCATTCTTTGTTAAAATTAACAGAATCGCATAATTTCTCATTTTTGGGCTCAGTTTGCATCATTCCAGAATTTTTCTTGCATAAAACTACGGGGACAGTAAATGTCTTTCGCTTGTCTGTAATTGGTGCCCTTTTTTTCAATGAGGAGTGTCGGCAAACTCAAGAGACTGTCAAAATGTATCTGCTCTCACTCGGATATTATTATGTATCCAATATTTTTGTCTTCATGTCATGTGATAAAATTTGGAGTAGCAGAAGGTGATTTTCGCCATGTAATTGTCTATCTCTTATTCATCCTCTTATTTCTTTCTTTGAACAACAGTAAAATCTTCAGTTTAGTCTTTGCATCCATGTTGATAAAACACGCACGATAACGCATGAATAGACAGATGATAGGTGTTTTTTTTGTTTTTGTATACTGTTTTACTGCGCTCGCAACTGCATAAGGTCATATGAGCGCGCGGGACACACCTAATATTTTCAGTTGGTAGGAAATTTTGAATTTTGCCCGGGTGGCGGCCGAAGCCTACTCTTCTTATCGATTTTAGACCACCAAGGGATCTTTAACGTGCACAACTTGCACACGGGCCCTCCGAAATTTTTCGCCCTTGTCCGAGAAGGCTAAGTGTAGATCTTTCCTACCAGAAGATGAGGGGTGTGGCAGAAAGACAGCAGTAAGAAGAAGCGAAGGAATAGCAGAATAGCAGGGGTGGGGGCAGAAAGAGGAGACGAAAGCAGACGACAGAACATTGCTAGAGAGCAGGAAATGAGGTGAAAGGAGACAAATTTAGAGAAGAAAATATTTCGGTCGCTACCCGGATTCGAACCCGGGACCTTTGAATGAGAGGCCAACACTTTAACCTCTAGGCCACGAGAGCCCCGATGATAGGTGTGAACGGGCACATATTTGTAAGATAGATGAATGCACAATACCACACGAACGTAATTCGGCAAAGATGAGGCAGCCGAGACAGCTATCATCACGCATTTGTTTACATCACATCCATCCTTTACTCTACAAAACCCCTGTCCCTCTTGACACTCCAAAGGAAAAGGCTGACCATGGCCATATTAACGATTTTTTAAAGCTAGATAACTATTTTTTAAATTTGCTGATTACTTAAACATGGTGGTGAGTGGGCAGTCCTGCTTATGCACACCCAAACATTCCTCCTCCGCCCTCCCCCCAAACATACACACATAAACACACGCAATGCACGTGCAAACGTAGGCAGGCACACACACACACACACACAAGTTTTTAAAAAGTAATTACATAATAACATATCATGAAAAGAAAGTCCCACTCGGTGGTGACTACATTTACCGGGGTAATGTTCGTCATTTTTTTTAAACCTTCTTTGTCTCATTCTGATTTTGGGTCTAAATTCTAAAATTGACCCTGAATTTACCTGAAATGGGAACTTTTAGAGGTAGGCAGTCCTGAGTAAACAAACTATTAAGTGTTGCCTTGTAGAAAGTTTCCATTATAATTAAATTCTATCAATTTTTAATGACTGATTTTATAAAAAAATAGCCTCTGATTAGCCTGTTCCTTCATATTGTCAACATGCTCATGCCAAACAGCTCATGGTCTACAGGGATTCCGGATTCTTCTGTATGCTTGTGTTACCTCACTCAACAGTCGCGTTAATTATTGCCAAAGCTAGGACGTTTTGGTCATAACGTCTGAAATTTTAAAAAATCATCTCTTTGATTTTGACTTAACTTTACGAGTTATCCCCGCACCATTTGATAAAAGCAAAAATAACCAGACCCTGCCCAATTTAGATGATGATAAATTTACAGGGTTGTGAGCAGGATCTGGCCAAAAATCCTGAAAAATTTTTGGTGTAAAAATTTTTAATTCAAAGCGTGGCGAGCGGCATTTCATTCAGATAATATATTAACATGTGCTAAAACATTTAATACATTGGTCTAGGCCTATAAGAAAAACCTAAATATAAAAAAAAAAAATAGAACTCACCAATAACTGCATATTTATAGAGTGTGTAATGGATGGGGGAAGGTCTTGCTGAAAAGAAATTACTTTCCCCTCTTTAACCGAAAAACTGGCAAACCTAAATTTACACAGCCCGCCTCATGCCTGATTTAAAACTTTCCAGAAATGTTTCGCTTGTTAATTTTTATAGGTAAGACAATACACAATACCACCCCCCCCCCCCTCAAATTCTCTTCCCAGACACTTACCAAGCTTTTCAAAATCCAGCTTACACCTTCCTTCGTCGGAGTTGTCGAGGCGAGCCATCTCTATGAGCATATTCGGCATTGTCTCCACACAGTGACTGCGGTAGTTGAAGAAGGCAAACACCAGCAAAGAAAAGTACACCATAAAGAGGATCTGCTTCACATAGCGTCTCAGCCGTGACGTCCATGATTTGGACAAGCACTGCCTCATCTTCCTAAGGACTTAGTTTCTCTTGTCTCCAGAATGTGTCACAGCTGTCCCTCGGTCCCTCTTGCACAAACCCCTGCCGTGTGCACCTTATTGAAAGAATAGTTCATCCACTTCTGGTGCATGCTGTTCAGCACATTTTCGAGCCAGGCAGCAAGGACTAGAAAATAAAGGGGGGAAAGGGGGGAAGGGTCTTTTTAGATTCATGCTTAAAAGACTCAATATTGGTGCTATTTGAGGCTAAGCATCATGCAAACAAAGTGATGGCCATATGATTTGAAGAAATTGAAAAAGAAAAACATTTGAATGTCACTTCACAAACTTATAGAGTTAAGAGGCAAGGACAGCCGAGATAAATGTCAAGAAGAAATTACCAAACACTTTGAACTTGATCACCTTGTTTTCTTGAAAATAATCCAATCTTAATCTTTACCACCGAAAAATTCATTGATCTAAACAAAACTACAATTTGAACCTGATCACCTTGTTTTCTTGAAAATAATCCAATCTCATTCTTTACCACCGCAAAATTCACTGATCTAAACAAAATTACAAAATAAAGCAGTCCATCCACATACACACGGCAATTGTAAATGGTATAGAAAGACTTCAGTAACAAGCAACCACCGTAACGAACACAATAAAACAAAGGGATCTTAGAACCTATGATCTATTCCAAGCCTTAATCCTAATAAACCCTCTTTCGATAAATTTCATTTGACTGCTCATTATGGAATTCCTCCCTAATGCTACTGTCTTTGGCCGAAATGCTCGCCCCATATCGTAATCATCACCGCAACCAGTCACGTGGGACTAGCACTTTGCGAAGTAGAAAGTGGTCAATCTGACCAGACTTACGGTAGACTGCTGTACAGCGTGGTAGCCCTTCATCAATTAAACCGACACCCAAAGAAATATATGCCAAGTTCTCACCAAACCCCTAAACCATTCATACATGATTGCAGGCCTTCTTTGTTCCTCCAAGCAGTCATACCTATTCTCATATCTATATAAATATGTTGTTATGACTTAAATCACAAGAAAGGCCTGCCTCAAAGATCAATGAGAGATTTAATGAGCTTCTGGAATTAGACAGTAATCAGTACCACCGATGATCGAACACTGCTTCGTATTCTATTCTTTTACGCAGTGACTACGTTCACGGTGCCTGATTCATCCACCATTGGCCAGCTCAGAGTAAGAACGTAAGACCATTGGCACAGAGGAATGATGAATGAAATGACGAAACAGCAAAGGAAAACTCGTGAGAAAAATAATGCAACAGTGGTCCAAATGCAACAGAGTATACGGAGGGCGAAGGCGAGCCCAGCAAAACAGCTGCGGTCGATATAAGGCCTAGCTCTCTCAGCGTGCGGAACACGACTTCCATCTTCTTCCCGTGTGCGGACCCGGCAACGCTCGACAATTTGAAAATAAAAGTCGTCCAAAGAAACAAGGGAGAATGGAAGAAGGCCGAGGCGGGAAGACGGGTGGGAACGGGTGAAAAAAAGAAGAAGCAAAAGGGAAAAGGGTAGGGGGTGAAGTGAGCAAGATCATTCTTAAATTGCAAACTACATTCAGGGCGCCGTGAACGTAGCCACTATGATTCTTTTATTAAATTCATTTTCACAACTGTTTCATGCTCCGGTTTTATATAAAGCCCTCTTGTTCACTTTTACCCGTTTTACAAATATTGACTTTATATTAATTAATAGTTTTTGAAATAACTGATGGTTGTAATTCCAACTAGAATCTATATTTATCGAAGTGGCTATTTGGACTCAAATTCCAGTGCACGTACGCAATCACCGGTTGTACTGTACTTTATTGTCTCCGGCGAGGTCTAGACTCGAGTCCGAATAATCTCCCGTTGTTGGACTTTAAACTACTAGTAGGTTGTTACACTGTGTTTCGTGACTACAAATACAAAGGGATCAAAACATAAAATTCATAATCAGTCCCTGTAAGACAGCCCCCCACCCCTTCCCCTTTCTCTCTCTCTTACTTTTCCTCCTTTCTCTTACTTTTCCTCTCTCCACCTTACTTCCCCAGGCAAGCCCCACCACCTTCATCCCTTTTTTTGTATATATAGATCTGTATTCCCGCCAATACCGTTTCCCACTGCCCGGCCCTACTATTATATTTTATCCTCTGTAAAGAAAAGACCACACTTCGCACTGGGTCACCACGGTCGGCGTCCATTTGTTGTAAGTTCCTTGGCCAGATCGAAGAAACCGGGGAAGGCCAAGGTCGAATTGCTTGTCTGCTTCACATATATGCGGTACATCTAGTGATTACGCACGCACATTGGAATTTGAGTCCAAATAGCAGCAGCCATATTACATATGTCACTCTCACTCAAAACGCTTAAATGCAAAGTAGTTTCTGCACTCTGGACCAATCAGGGGGCAGGGGCTGAGGTTAACCAAAAAATCCAGGGGTTACAGAGGGGGAGGCATGCCCCGCCCCTTTTTTCCGCATAAATCTGACATTTTGCCATTTTAGGTTTGGAATTTTCTTGAAAATTAAAATGATTGATTTGTCACTGTTTTAGTGGCCATGCCCAAGAGTAAGAGGGTAGGCACCACTGTGTGTGTAATTTAATACACAGTAATAAATAAAGAAATAAAGTTCCGTGAACCGGCTAAATCTGAACAGTCTTGGTTTTTAACCTGGGTTTTGGTTTACTTGAGAAAAGAGACCCCCCCCCCCCCCCCCCCCAAAAAAAAAAGAACCCGAACTCATCAACTCAAACCCCTAACATCAAACTCAAGCAACCCAAAAACCGTAATAGGAGTATTGAGTCAAGAGATGTCCCAACTTTTGTGTAGGCCTACTGAATGTGAATATCGATACTGATTTAAATAGTCCGTATCAATGTTTTACCAGTAGCCTAGATCTAAATCTAGCCTACAAAATGAGCAGTAAAACTCACTTGTTTTTCACAAGGCAAGGGGGGTTCCCCCCCTCACTTTAAAAAACATGGTGGGGTGTTTCAGGGGGGCATGCCCCCCTGAATTTGACCACGATTTGATGTTTTGCAATTAGGTTTGAAAGGTTTCTCTCCATATCGGCATGCGAATCAAAAGTCGTTTAGACTTAGAATCTAGATCTAGATCTAGATATAGATTTAGAACCAGAAGTAATCGCCGTTGGGGTCAAAACTAGATCTAGATATCTAGATCTAGATTTTCTCTGGGTTATATTATTTCCCTGTCACCAAAGTCGGGACCACCATATATATTCCAAGGCAATACCAAGGGAAGGACTTCCGTAACAAGCGACCACCCCATCAAACACAATAAAGAAAAGAAGAGGCCTACCCTAACCCTAACCCAAACCCTACCCCTAGATCTACCCCTACCCCTAGCCCTCAATTCTGCTCTGTCTTATAGTATAGTGGTCGCTCGTTACGGAAGTCCTCCCATTTCCAAGTAAAGCCGATCTTTGAGAGAATCTAGTGATAGTGTTAGAGTTAGAAGTCTCTAGACTTCTAGATCTAGACGAGTCTAGGCTACCTCTTCAAGCCTTGATTAATTACAAGTAGACCTACCTACCGACGGCAACTTTTCTCAGAAAGAATAGACTGGAAACGATAAGCACAAAATCCAAAAGCATAAGTGACGGCAGTGTGCCACTCAGCAGTGACTCCAGTGCCGCAACATCTGATGTCACCGACAGCCACAACAAATCTGATCGATCAATGAAATGGAAGTAGGAAGTCTTGGCCGGAAGAGGCTCAACTGAGAAGTCGTACAAATATTGCCTCGCGAAATTAATTCTTCAAAACTTTCTATGAGAATCGAAAAGGTTATTAATATCTTTGGCGAGAATCCATATAGAATCGAGTTCTACATCTAGATCTAGGTCTAGATCTAGTCTAGATCTTGATCTAACATTGTTTTCGGTTTAACTTTTTGCTTTTTTTTTTTTTTTTTTTTTTTTT